GCTGCCCCCACCAGTAGTCCTGCTGTAGGTGAGCCTTCCTTTAAGCAAAGTAAATGCATGAATCTCTGAATGTACTGAACAGCTTTTAAAAAGACGCCCAGATTATTTTGAAAATGTCCAGCTCCCACAAAGCAATTAAAATAGGAACTCATTGAAGGATATGTATGCATACAAATGTATATATGTACATATGTACATACGTATGTATGTATCAGTAAGCACATTAACAATATTTCTCTACTGCTCCTAGGAAAATAATCCATCCATATAAAAGACAGGTGCAATTTCAACATCCTTCAGGATCACACATTGCTTAGGTGAAAAACGGATTCAAGGTTAGCAAAGAAGCCAAGTCTCTTTCTGTTGCTTACAGTCTGGCCGAGTGGCTCAGTTGGTTAAGAGCTCGCTCAAGTGTTTGAGTTCTGAGCAACAGCAGTTCGAGTCCAGCCCGAGCTGAGCAGCCGCTGAGCTGCCAACAGGTGGCAGGATGGCTCAGCTAAAAAAAAAAATTAAAATATAAATAAAAGTACATTACATAAGTACATAAAGTACTTAAATGGGTAAAGGTGAGTGTGTGTACGTGTACGTGTGTTTATTTGTGTGTTTACATATACGCAGGTGAACAGGTTGGCTAAATATTTTAGAATGGAATCTATCAGACACTCTGGGCATTCATCTCTAGACAGGGAAAAAGTAATCTGGATGCCCCAGAAAATACTGACTAGAACTAATGTTACAAAATGATCTAGCTATGTCCTAAATTTTAATAAATGCATTATTTTGAAATCAAGCTCAGAAATAAAAAGCAAATGTTTTCTAAGTGCAACAACTGCAGGGGTTTTTAAAAAAGAATCCTCACACACACACACAGAATTTTCCAAATAATACTATGAAACCTTAACATGGAGCAGCTCTGTCTTTTACTTTTTGGTCTTATTGAAGTTTCTTCCATTTTGATTCCTAAATTTCAGATTATTCTATGAGCCAGTCACAACACCTTGTGGGCACACGTTTTGCTTAAAATGTCTTGAAAGATGCCTAGATCACAATGCGAAGTGTCCACTGTGCAAAGATGGTCTTTCGCAGGTAAAACATTCTTTCTTTCTTGGTTGGGTTAGTTTATTTGGAATTGGGTACTAAGACTCTTAAGTAAGATTCTTATTTGGAATTCTGTCCTATTGGATCCCAAGCCACTGCACTATGCAAGGGCAAAATGCCCTCTCAGAACACCCATCTCTTTCTCCTGCCTTACAGCCACCCCTCTCCTCTCCACAAAGTCCTTCAAGAAAATGAGGCAACATCTAGCTTTTTATGCACTGTTGATAGTGAAATTGTGTTGGAAACAAAAGTATTAAATTGATGATAAATATGGATCCTGGTTTTAATCCCATCATGGCACCTGATTCACTGTCCTCTTGGGTAAATCTTGTGCCCTCTCTGGGCTTGGACTTAGATGAGCACTGGTGTCCTCTTTTCGTCAATATTTATTCTGTGGTTTGAAGGATCATTCCCAGGGCTCCAGATAAACCTCACAGACTTTCAATGTGGTCCTTGTCCCACCCCTCAGGAGCCACTGTATTTCTTAGCAGACCCTTGGTGACTTGAAAAGCTTTGGGGCTTCCAGGTTTTCTAAAATGAATCACACAAATTGCCACCTTGATTTTTCAAATGGACCTGATGGAATTTCCTTTAGCACAAATAGACCCAGGAATCCGTCTTGTTTCCTCCCCCTCAGGGACTTGTGTGCCACCTTTTACAGTCAGCTTGACTGTAACTGTAAAAGGTCACTTGACCCGTCATCCCTGACTAAAGTTTGGAGATGTAAGGCTATCTTTAGGTGAACATAGGTCCAGAGAAGTCACATGTTGAGTTTTTCCAACACCGCAAAATTTAAACTAAGGGAATGGAGTGAAATCATCCAGGATAACCCTGGGGTTGTGTATTGGGTTGGGGGGAGGGTCAGTGCCATACCTTGCCTCAGTAAAGGGGTGGGATTTGCTGGTTTGATTGTAGGTGAAAAGTCTTTATACCTAATACATTTGTATTGCGCTAACACTACAACATTCAGATAAACAGAAAGAAGAAAAATCTACCCATATGCTCATCACCTGGAGAAAATCACTGTTAACAGTTCAGTATATCCCTTTCCTCGGTTTTTGTCTTAGTGTCAGTGGAGGCATCATCTTATTGGATTGGCTACCACGTGAGTCATTGCTTTTCCCCAACTGGACAAAGCAGTTGGTTTTCCTGCAGCCAGGCACTAGCAGTGTCTGATGAGGCATCCTGGAGGCAGACGCTGTGGGGTTCCGGACTCAGGGGCTAGAAGATATTCTCATCTATCTCTTTGTATTCACACAGGGTCACACTTACTCCATTTCCCAGAGAGATGGATGTCTTATTCCAATCATGTTTACTGCAGTATAGACAGACATAGCCAATACTGGGATTATACTCAGGAGCTCCCCCTGCTGGGTCTGTGTGGGTAGCTTCCATAGCAAGCAATTCCCTGCAGATGTTTTAAGCCCCATTGTCTGGTCCACACAGTTAAATGCCCTATACTTACACATCCCTAGATATACATGGGGTAGGGATGTTTGGGAGGAGAGTAATAGTGACAGTTGAGCCTGAGTTCGGTTCTGAAATCATGGTTTATAACATAATTTCAGTGATACCTAAATGGTATATTAAAAAAACAAATAGACAAACACATCAACAGTATTTAGCTGTTTTTTGTTTTGTTTTGTTTTGTTTTGTTTTAAATAAAGATAGAGAAGAAGGAATATGTAGACTTGCAATATCGAGAAGCCTAGCATTGGGACGGGGTGTGGTTGGGGCAGGGAAGGAAAGGATCAATCATTGAAAAATGCTTTTTAGTTTGAACCTTTTGGCCATGGACATTCAGCATATCCCAGATGGAGACAGTTTCTGTGGGCTTGTAAACAAAAATCAGAAATAGGAAAGGGAAGGATTTTACCCCTTTTTTGACAGGAACATGATCTCAATTTCAGTGTTTTAGGACAGTGATGAGATTTTTAAAACATCGATGCAAGTCTTTTTGTCTTGTTAAAATATTTGTTTCTAATTATAGGAGTAATTGATTGCATTTTTTAAAGTCTAACATCCAGGGAATACATACATTCTGAAAGTATCAGCTACTAATGTATGGGTCCAAATTACTCCAATATGTGGGCGATTTCACTATTCTACTGATTGCATCAGAAGTGCTTTGTGTTTTTCTGATGACTGCATAATATCTAATAGCCTTGTTCCTCATATAGTGCTTGGCATCAAGAAAATACAGCAAAAATGTCATAATGGAAGAGCTAATAGCTAAATTCCTTCCAGAAGAACTCAAGGAACGAAGGAGACTTTATGAAGAGGAAATGGAAGAACTTTCTAAGTATGTATATGCATGCTTCTATTTTCAGTTTCACTCATACCAGTTCATAGAGCTGAATGTGCACATTTCTTTCTAACTCCTCATTCAGTGATATCATGTTGGAAGCTTGAAATTGGCCATGGTGAGAGTATTTACACCATGGAATTTGGCAAATGCTATAAACCAGAGCTTCCTCCCCCTCACCCCAACTCCCACCTCCAGAAAGCCAGTTGATCAACATTTACCAGCATACTACTGAAGAAGCATGAGCCAAACCTCTGACTAGGTCACATCTTGGCACTAGTAACTGGGTGTCACTGGCAGGAGTAAATTGGAGTAGCATAATCAAGGGGAACTTATAAAGTGGTCAGAAGACTGTTTTCAAATATAAGGAGGTGCTATGAGGTTAAGAACTTTGGTGTTAGCCTGACCTGGGTTTATGACCCAGTTTTGCCACAAAGTGAGAATACTTCAAGACCACAGGCAAATCACTTCACCTCTCTGGGCCTCAGTTTCCTTATCAGTAGCTTGGGGATAATAATTGTTCTTTCCTCATGGACTTATTATGAAGATCAAATGAGCTAGTGCATAGTAAGCACTTAATAATGGTAATAGTAAGAATGCTGCTTGTTATGGGTGTCCTCTGCCACGCACAGGTATTGTGAGAGGTGAAGGGTAGGAAGTAGGGCTCCAAGCTCTGCCTGTCTGGAAGAACAGTTCACTTAGCAAACAAAGCAGGAGGGAATCACCAATTTCTGCCTCTCATACTGCTGCCCTCCCGTCTCCCCAACACCAGTGTGGAATCCTCACAGCATTCTGAGGGTGAGGATCCTGGTGGCAAAAGCTGTTCTGGTTTTGTACCCACCCTGTAGAGAACCATTTCCAAACTACCATCAGTTTGTCTGAATGTATCTCCCACTTTGAACATGTTTTCCTGGGAAGCTAGAAATGAAATCTTTTTTTTTTTTCACATTGACTCAGATCTACTCAGGACAACTTTATCTTTATTTCTTATTCCTAAGTTCACCTTGAGTCTCTCTGAACCCTCCTCTCAAATATAATTTAATGTATCTTTAACAAGGACTGCAGTATGCTAGAGGGATTTCTATTTAAAGGAATACTAAACTTAATCCTTTTGAGATTTGGGCAAATGGTCTCATATCTATTGGTAGGTTTAGGTGCAGCTATTCCTGTGTTGGATTTACTAGACAAATGAGAGAACAGGGATCCGGGAGAAGCTGGCCCAGTTGCTGGTTCCCTCTCAGGCTGTGTGTCTGAATCTTCATGGGCACTTGTTGAAAGGCTAGCTCCCCGGTCCTGATTCCAGAACCAATGCACCAGTATCTCTGGGGGTGTTGCAACCTGGTTGTCTGGACCAGTAATTCTGATGTGTGGGTGTATTTGAGCATCACGGGGCTAGATTACTCTTGCTTCCCCATTGTTACCTCCTCTTCCCAGCTGGGCCTGCCATGCAGATCTTCTAGGGCTGTGCAAATTTGAGATGCTCAGGGTGACTTGGCAGAGAATTTCCCACCATCCTTCTGGAGAGCTGGGTCCACTTGTATTATCAGTACCCTTCCCCATACTGCCAGCAAGACACCTGTAGAGATTGTTTGATATGAGAGCATGAAAGAAAGAAAAAATATGAAAGGTAGCTGTCACCCACCATTTTAACATACTAGACAACTTCCTGAGCCAAATTAGATGATATAGAATGTCAATTTTCATCTTTGAGCCTATAAGCTAACCTGATAATGGGACTTAGCATTAGCTGCATTTTAGTATTTTTGACTCTTGTAGAGAGTTTAATCAGCAAGTCAAAAAACCAGAAATGCAATCATATTTTACATTATAATGTTTAAGTCCCTCAAGTTTTTTTCACAAACAATGGGCACACAACTTAAATGTAAATGTAAATTTTACCATGACTAAAGTTTACTGTGAATTTTTGGTAACTAAATGGTCATGCACTCACTTGGCTCCATATCAACAATTGTTATTGGAAGAAACCCAGAATTTCCTATAAGAATCAACACAGAGTCACTTCCCCCATCTCAACTCCATCCCTGTTCCTTATATCTA